AAACAAATATAATCTTTCACTCTAGTCCTCATAGACTATTTGAAGCACCACACATTAAAAAACAAAAAAAAAAAAACAAATACAAACTTCCAGCTTTCAAATTTCACCAGGAAGAAGGGCTGGGAAGGTAGCTCAGTGGTAGAGTGCTTGCCTTGCATGCATAAGGCCCTGGGTTCGATTCCCCAGCGCCATATAAGCAAAAAGAAAAAAAGCTGGAAGTGGCACTGTGGCTCAAGTGGTAGAGCGCTAGCCTTGAGCTGAAGAGCTGAGGGACAACGCCCAGGCCCAGAGTTCAGGCCCCACGACCGGACCCCCCCAAAAAAAATATCCTCAAATTTCACCAGGGAGTATCACACACCCATAAAATTGCATGATTCCTATTCATAGATATAACTAACAACAATGATGCCATCTTTTCCATGTCAAGTCTTGTAGGCCACAGTGCTCTTCATGACTTAGTACACATGGGACTTCATGTAATACAGTCCTCTCCCTTCAGCTCCAACTCTCTTCCTCCCTCCCTAACACAGCTGGAACACTGGAAATTTTACCCACTTCAATTTCCTCAGACGTTACAAGGTGTAGTCTCAGTAGTAGAGAATGTGTTTGACATGGACAAGGCCCTGGGTTGGATTCCCAGAACCAAAACAAACAACAACAAAAAAACAACCAAAAAACAGGTAGACAAAGTTTTTCACTGGCATGGCTTTCCCCACATCTCCTCCTCCAGCTATCTCCTACAGATTCCTCAGATTCTATTCTAAATGTCATTTCCTGGGGAAGACTTCTTGACCTCTGTGCTCAGCCCAGACCAGGAGTCCCTATTATGCAATTTCATAGCATGCAGTACTTTTCCCTCAGAGCATTAACCATCCTTATAATTAACAGCTTAAATATGTAAGGAAAAGGGAAATTGGTGTAATACACTGAAGGGCAGAAAGGAAATCATTTTGATTCCAGTTTGAAAAATATTAATTGAGCACTTATGTTCCAGACACTGGGTTAGGTACTAGGAACATTGTGGAGAATGAAGTAGCCCCCTCTCCTTTCAACGTCCCTTCTTGACGTCACCTCCAGGATCTTATCAACAATCACAACATCATCTAACTCAAATATGAATGGAAAGAACATGACTACTTCTCAAGACCATTCACTACTCCCCTCTCATCTAATCTATGGGTCAGAGTCTTGGACTCTTAGATCTGCCCCAGTCTCCCTAAACCTTTTTATCTTCACTTTGTTCTCTATCCAGATAATGTAATTCATGCAGCAGGATCCACTTAGCAAACTCCACCTCTTTATCCACCTGACATTCATGCAAACAAACATTGTCTCAAATATCCCATGAGGATTTGATATTTCTACCAATTCATGGTTTTATTCCTTTAATTGGACGTTTTTAGCCCAGATGGTTTTCTATAGGTGGTGATCAATTTCCTGTCTTATTCTCTCTGCAGAAATTTCTATCCTTCGTTACTCATCTAAAGCCTCCAGTTCCTCCTCCCTTAGTCTGAAGATAACTGGCTTCCTATTTCACTGAGCAAACAGACACCAGGGGTATCTTCCCTGGGAACTATCTGCTTACCTGGAGATAAACTGCCCAGCTTCCTTGCTCTATCTACCCACATTCAGAGAATAGGAGGTTACTCACCTCCTATTAATGCTCAGTATTTTAAGTTCCCTGGCAAAAGTGAATGGGTATGTGCTTTGAGTCTGAACACTGGGCCCAGTGCTCTACCTCTAGAACCACAAACCCAGATAAGGTCTCTCATTTTTTCCTGGGGCTAGCTTCAGACCAAGTACCTAGGATTTTAGGCATAGATTTCACTCCAGGCTCAGCTGCCTTCTTTAGGTTATCCAATCAGCTTTATTTGAACCTTTCCCTCAGCTGGTTCATTCCAAAAAAAAAAAAAGTCCAATTATCTTCCAATTACCAAAGAAAGGAAAACAAATGGAAAAAAGGACACACCAAAATTCTCCCCCAACTCTATCTCTTTCTATCTTCATTTCCTTCACAGAGATGGTTTTTAGGGTTTTTTTGTTTGTTTAGCCTGTCTGTCTGTCTGCCTACTTCCCTCCCTCCCTCCCTCCCTCCCTCCCTTCCTTTTTACTTTTCTAGTACTGTGCCAGGTAAGTACTCTCCCAGAAAGGCATATCCACAGCCCTCAAACAAGTTGCTTAAGAGAACATTCTTCATGCAGCTTTCTTTACCTACCATCTTCACACAGCTTTCTTTACCATTTCCAGTTTGCCTTCTACCTCTCACTACTCTGGGATTTTATGCAAAGATCATCAATTATCTCTGTGACTAAATCTAATAACTTCCTTTCAGTCTTTATCTTGCTTGACATCTTTTCAGTGGTTAAAAGTACCCATTTCCACAGGGCATTTCACCCCTGTACTAGCACTCAGAGGGCAGAGCAGGAGGGGCCAGACTGACATAATGAGATTCTGTCCCAAAAAAATAAAAATAAAGAAGGACCAGGAGGAAAAGGGAAGAGAAAAAGGGGAAAGAAGGAACTATTTCCTCCTTGAAGTTCTTTTCCTTTAAGCTTCTTTTTCCCTAGATGTCCTTCCCTTTCTATATCCATTCTCCTTTTATTTCTTTGGTCTCTTCTCTTTGGTGGAGGAATGATACTTTCCTTTATTTGCTAACTCTGCAAGCACTAAACAAATACTGGAGAATTCTGCTTTCTTCTTCACTGTTGATATTTTCATTGAGTGGGACTGTTCACATCCTTTTCTTCAACTCTCAGTACTTTTCAATCTTCTCTAAATTTTTACTCAAGATCTTACTCCTTAAGGGGAAACAAAGGAGGAGGCAGCAATGCTTGATAAGAAATGTACTCATTACCTTGCCCATGTAATTGTAACTCCTCTGTATGGTATTTTCACAATTAAAAAAAAAATCTTACTCCGGAGCTTCTGAATTTAACAGTCTTTCGCGGTATCCTGATACAAGAGACATAAAGGCTACATGTCTAACTGGAATAGATTAGTCCCAGCTCTTTTAGAGCAAGGACTCTCATTCCATCTGCCTGTCTGTCCAGTGCCCAGCAGAGTTAATGGCAAGTAGTGAGCTCTTGGGTGTTATACTTGTCTGTTAACAACCAGGAAGCAATCTTCAGTCTCTCCCTCTGCCATCCCTCACACCTTATTAATGCCATTACTTCAGCAGTTCCCTACTCAGTAGCAGCTTCACAATTTCTCTGTAGAGGGATTTAGGAACAGTAGTGTGGTTAGAAGGTGAAGAAAGCCTCCCATGTCCTGTTCTTTCAGTTTTGTCTATGGACACTCAAGCTAGGTGTCCCCACGGATGGTGGTTGTATGAGCAACAGCATGCTTTATACCATTAGGATAACTGGAACCACTGTTCATTTTATTTTTCAAATGTTCTCCTGGATTTATCTTTACAACTCTGCTCAGCTTCTTTTTTTTTTTTTTTGGTTGGTCATGGGGCTTGTACTCTGGGCCTGGTTGCTTTTTAGCTTAGCTTAGCTTCCCTTAGCTCTTCAGCTCAAGGCTAGCACTCTATCACTTGAGCCACAGCACCACTTCCAGTTTTCTTGTGGTTTATTGGAGATAACAGTCTCATAGATTTTCCTGCTGAGGCTAGCACTCTATCACTTGAGCCACAGCACCACTTCCAGTTTTCTTGTGGTTTATTGGAGATAACAGTTTCATAGACTTTCCTGCTGAGGCTGGCTTTGAACCATGATCCTCAGATCTCAGCCTCCTGAGTAGCTAGGATTACAGGCGTGAGCCTCCGGTACGCAGCCTTCTGCTCAGCTTTTATCTTTTGAAAGCCTTCAAGTTGAGCCAAGTGTCTTCTCTGAGTTCACTGTACAAAACTCTTGTCTTGGCTCTCAGCATATTGCATTACAATTTTGTTTCTGTCTCCACCTTCGTGAATTCTGCTCAAAAAGTCTTGGAATCTCAAAAATTATTAAGCTTTGATCTCAGAGAAGTTCATGACCCAGAGGAGTTGGGAAGATTAGTAAAATAGAAGGGAATAAATGAAGGGAAAGTTAACCAAGAGCTGAGTTCGTTCACACATTGAAATCATTAATATTAGAATGTCAAGGACCCTCTTTAAAATATTCCAACAACATGGATACAGAATTCTTCTACAAGTCACATATATATTAATTTATATAATATACTGTACACATACAACATATATTGAATTATATATTCTTTGTTGTATAGCATATATATTGCATATATTATGTGCATATAATGTATATATTAAAGCATATTATATGATTATATATATATATATAATACATATATCCAAGTCAAATGAATGTAGATCAATCAATCATACAAGTTTGAAAATGCCTTGTGACAAGCTTGAGAACTCTGGCCCAGGCTTTGCACTATTTACAAGGGAGAATACACAGCCATGGATTTCCTATATGAGTCATACTTATGGACCAGAAGTGATAATGAAGGAAATAACTATTAGAAAGCATGCTGGTGGGGCCTGAAGACAACTAACGAAACTAAAAAATAGGTAATATGAGCCAGGCATGATGGCACATACCTATAATCCAAGCATCTGGGCAGCTGAGGCTAAAAGATCACACAGACACACAGCCAGCTGGATCTACAAAGCATGCATAAAGCCATCCTGAGTTAACACAGTGAAACCGTGTCTCAAAACCAAGAAAAATGCCACTTATACTTTTATACTTTAAATTTTAATCTTATTTTATTGTAAAGGTGAGGTACAGAGGGTTACAGTTACATAAGTAAGGTCTTGTTGAACATTGTTATCCTCTCCCTCATTTTTCTCCCACTTTCCCTCCCCCAGACTCCCCGCCTCCACCTAAGTTGTAAAGTTCATTTCCAACCCAGTGTCTTGTGAATATCACTGTTGCATTGGTTCACCCTTTGTCCTTTATCTCACCATTTTGTATTCCCCTTCCTTTCCCCAAATCAGATAAATGTATATACATACTTTTATACTTTTAATTAATATTATTTTAACATACATAAGGGCTTTAGTGGGATTTATCTTCACTGTAGTTTTGTGGCTGTTAAAAAGAAAAGTAGTAGAGTCCAATGTCAGGATCAAAAGAGGGACTATTATTCTGCACTACTTAGACTTCATCTGGACTACAATGGTTTAAGAGGCAAACTACAAGTTGCTTTTGCTGGGCTTTGTGAATTAACTAAAAGTCTCCCAACTACACATCTATACCCTTTGATCTGAGTTATGCTCTGCTGAAGTCACTTTACAATCATCTTGGGCTCCAAGAAAGAGAAAATTCACTGATAAGCATCCTGTGTGAAGGCAACTTGCAAAACAGGCAATGCCTTCTTCTTATCTTCTTAAAGGAAACGACCAAAAACTTGGGAAATCACCCACCAGGCAACTTGTTCCAGTCTGGCCCAAAGTTAAAGTTTTAACAACTCCAAAATTCTTCCAGAGACAAAAACTGAGTTAATGGTCAACCAGACCATACCTGTGATTTAGGACTGAACCCAATGTTTGGACCTATAATGACTGCTGAAGATGCACTGGAATGCTGTCTTCCCATGGCTGCCATGTAATGAATCACCTTCCTTACCCCTTTACCATGTCTTCTTATTTGGCACATGGGGTCAAATGGTCAAACCTAACTTGGGATTCCTGGACTTTGGGCCTGGGGTCTAAAAGCTCAGTCTCATGATCCCTTGTTAGTATTTGTTGAGATGGGAGTCTTGCTATGTATCATAGGCTGGCCTCAAATTCACTGAATAGCCCAGGCTGGCCTTAAACTTGCCATCAACCTTAGTGTTAGAATTACAGTCATGCACCATGACACTTGGCTCTTGCATTCACTTTTGAGAACAGTATTTCAACCGACAAGACCAACGCAGAGTCCAAAGAAGCACAAGAAAGATTAGAGGGCTACAAATATAGCTAGACAATAAAGTTGGGGATATTTGCCTAGACAACTGAAAAAAATAATAACAATATGTTTGTTTTAAAAAGTTTTCACCTGGGCGGGGGAGGGGGGGCTGGGAAGGGATGTGAAGGGTAAACAAAGGAGGAGGCTGCAATGCTTGAGGAGGCTGCAATGCTTGATAAGAAAGGTACGCATTATCTTGCCCATGTAATTGTAACCCCTCTGTACAGTATGTTCACAAAAAATTAAAATTAAAAAAAAAGTTTTCACCAGAGAAAAGGAGGAAAACAGTCAGCGTTAGAAAGAAGCCAACATGAAAAAGTGCTTTCAACTAGGTTCTTTCATAATGCAGTAAAGCAAACCGTGACCCTACCTGTCAAATGTGTAGAGATCACATATCAGATGGTAAGGTGGATACATGATACTCTTAAGATGCCTTTCAACTTTAAGATCCTAAGAAAAACTGTTGTCTAGAAGCAGATACCAAAAATAACCCCTGAAATTATTTTCAAAGGTGAAAGAAACTCACACTTTTTTCATTTAGAAAAGATCACAGCAAAAGCCAAACTTCAAAAACAAATTAAAGCTGAGGCACAGTTATTCATCTTTTAAAAGCGCTGAAGACTTCCTCTTGGTACTTATTTTGTTGTTATCCACTCCCCAATATGTGGAAAGGGACTTTTGGGAAATGTTTATTACATTGATTGTGTGTAAGTCTTATTATGTGTTCAAACTATAATGTGCTGACTAAATATGTACAGTTTCCATACAAAATCAATTATATCTCAATAAAGCTTTAAAAAATAAAGTGCCAAATGAAATTTTATTTGAAGAACTTCCATCCTCTAATTCATTTCCATAATAGTACCTTACATATAGAAGCATCCACATGTTCGTTATCTGGCTGATTGATGATTGTTTCACAAATACCTGCTTTTCCCTCCCTATCAACCCATGCCCTCCCCGCTCCCACCTTGCTGAGGGTGGAATTTAGAACCTCACGCTTGCTAGGCTGGTACTCTACTGCTGAGCCATGCCACCAGCATAAATACCTATATATACTAATAAGAAACACATGGGGGCTGGGAAGGTGGCTCAGTGGTAGAGTGCTTGCCTTGCATGCATGAGGCTCTGGGTTCGATTCCTCAGTACCACATAAGCAGAAAAAGCTGGAAGTGGCGCTGTGGCTCAAGTGGTAGAGCACTAGCCTTGAGCTGAAGAGCTGAGGGACAGTGCCCAGGCCCAGAGTTCAGGCCCCACGACCGGCAAAAAAAAAAAAAGAAAGAAAAGAAACACATGGAATTGGCATGAATTAGACATACGAGTTTTTCATGTACATTGTTTGTATAAAAGGCAATTTTTCATTGTTCTTTTTTAACTTTTTTTCTAAGCAAAATCATCTACTAATTTCATCTCTTTTAGATTTGAACTAAATCTAAATACAAGCCTAAGCTGACAGTGTACTGACTTTCCTTCAGTCTTGACGTGATAAAAGAGTAAACACGCAGACATTCCACTAAAGGAAACAAATGGTACATATCTTGTTTTTCAAGTTCACAAGCTGTCTGCTTCAGCAAATGTGTGCACCAAGTTTTTTTCCTCAAATTTCCTATTACCCCCCCCCATTACCTCATTGCTAGCTTCCCTCCTCATTCTATATTTTTAAGTTGACTTCCCTCATGTAAAATGTGTTTCAAAATTATCTTTTACCAAAGCCATTCACCATCTTTTCATAATTATTTCTCTGCATATACCTCTTTGTCTTTTGAACTATACTTTTCAGGTTTTTGTTGTTGTTGTTGGCTTGCTTTGCCAGTCCTGGGGCTTGAACTCAGGGCCTGGGCATTGTCCCCAAGCTTCTTTTGCTCAAGGCTAGTACTCTACCACTTGAGTCATAGTGCCACTCTGTCTTTTTCTACTTATGTGGTACTGAGGAATCAAACCCAGGGTTTCATGCATGCTAGGCAAGCAGTCTACCACTAAGCCACATTCTCAGCCCTAATGTTTTTAAATTCAATTCAATGACTCATAGCACCAGCTAAGAATGTTGGATTTTAAAAGTCAAACAAATGGAAAACCTAGTAACTAGAGAACTTGATCTCACTGACACTAAAACCAGAAAGGAAAAGATGGGACTTGTCTGAAATTTTCTTTTCTTTCCCTTTTATCATTTATCCTTTTGCTAGTGTGTGTGTGTATATATGTGTGTCTATGTGTGCGTAGGGAAAGAGAAAGAAGTGATGAAAACAGGAATTCTATAAAATTAGTAACTGCTAAAATGTATCAAGTTATCACTTATTTAATGGTAATCAAGGCACCTAAGAAACATATAAAGTTGAAATAGAAGAGATTGGAGTACATCTTTTAGAGTAAGGAAATAAATGAAACTTAACCACAGGATTCAAGGTGATAGAACTCTGAAATAATGTGTATATTATTCTTTAGGTTACATTTATAATCTATTAGTAGTTTTCAGTGGTACACCCACAGCATTTCCACATGGATGAGGCTGAGTTTTGACACAGCCCTTCCTATCTGCTCCCCCATCTCTGGCCTCCCTTTCACTATAGCACAATGACACTGAACTCTGCTTTTCCAAAACAGTTGTTAGTAGTCCCTGTCATCCCTTTCTTTTCTTTTTGGCCTCAGACCAGTCAGTGCTTATTCCAAGATTGTGCAAGTAAATGGTTGCCCTGGCTATCTGATTAAAATAATCAGATAAAAATGAGTCAATTTCTCTTTCTCTCATTTCAAAAGGTACATTCTAATTCTAGTAGGCCTATGTGCATTTTTGGTGTATCTGTGTGTGCACACAAGAGCATCAGCTAATAATGGGGTATAAATTCAGGGTCCGGTTGTTCTCCCTTAACTTTTTCTGCTCAAGGGTAGTGCTCTACCTCTTGGGCCACACCTTCACTTCCCACTTTTGCTGTTAAAATCAGAGATAAGAATCTCACAGACTTTCTAGCCAGGGGGCTGGCTTCAAACTGCTCTGCTCAGATCTCAGCCTGCAGAGAAGGTAGTAATCCATTGGCTTACTATCTCAGCCATGAGCCACTGGCTCCAGGCTTCACCATTCATTCATTATGAGTGAGTAAATTTATCAACTGGAGGCATTTTCAAATTGTCTCCTTTTTTTCTGTTGGTATGTCCATCTTGACATAGACACGATTTCTTCATGCTTTGGGACTGATGATCTTTCAAGGCCACGTCTCTTCCCTGGAATGAGTTAAAAAGTCTGGTTCCTTTTCGTGAGGAAAATGGTATTCAGAAACCAAGACCTGATTGCATAATCCATCTCAATACATCTAAACGTCCCGCTCCCGTTTCCCCAGGCTACCATAGGAAAGACTGGTGTGATGACTTAAAACGTCCAACTTGAGCACTACCTGTGTGACTCTGGCAGTCCTCTCCACGCCTTGCTGCTGGCTTGGTCATCTGAAAAGACATGGGACACGAATTTCCTAAGTTTCCAGGGTCACCAGCCACAGGGAACGTGACAGAAGCTATGGCCCCCCCTCCCCAAAACTCAAAAAAGAAAAAGCCAAGCCAAGCCTACGTTTCAGGGGCTCTAGCTCGGACACCCACGGGGGGCGGGGGAGGGGGTCCCCAAGTCTCGGGATGAAGTCATCTCGGGGTCTCTCCAACGCGGACATTCCGTGAATCTCCATGCAACCGGCTGCCGTCAGCAGGACTCCTCTGAGGAAAGTGGATGGCTTTAAATAGCAACACCAAGCGGGAAAGACACAAAGGAAGGAGGTGATGAGCAACGCGTTACTCAGTCACCATTCTCGGTCGCTTCCAAATTTAGGGCGCAGTCGACTCATAGGTGAGAGGTTTTGGCGGGAAGGTCCTCAGGTGGGCGGGAAAGGAGCCTGAGGTGAAGTTCGCCGGTGCACGCTCCGTCCCGCCCACCAGGGCTCGCTCTTACCCTTCCGTGGAAGGCACGGGGGACGGAGGCGGGGCCTGTCGCCCCGCCTCCAATGGCAGCGAAGCTTGGGGGCGGGAGGAGAGGGGGTGGGGGGGAAAGGGAGAGAGGACGCCGAGACCCGGAAGAGACGCGCCCGCCCGGCTCGCGCAGCGCGGCGCCCCTCCCTTCAGCTGCCGACGTCGGCGGTGCTCCGGTCGCCATGGTG